TGTTTCATTGGACTACTTTTCTTCCCGAATGCTGTCAGATGACCTTTGTTGGAAGGCTGATAAAACTCAAAATTCAGCAATATCGATTCTGACTGGGGAACCAGGTTCCTTTGGGGAATTCCAGGGTGAGAGATTGTGGGGTGAAGGGAGGATATTTACTTGCGCTCTTCAAATCCTGTCTCACTTCCCTTTCTCAAATCTACAGTCTCCAGGGAGCAGATGCGAGCGTGACTCATTGGATTTAATGGGCTGACTGCTTTAAAAAAAAACAAACCCAAAACTTTTTTAAAGAAAAATGGGATATTGGCTAGACTGCTGGAGAAGGACTGGCGGAACCAGGGGGAGCGATGACAAGAGGCATCAGCCTAGAATCACTACATAGTCACCAATGAACTAAACCCAACTGCGCTTGACTGCCACTGATCTTTATTTAATTCTAACCAGGTGCCGATGTGGTTGAGAAGATTCTTGCACAAATACAAATCAGTTAAATCGAACCGTCGTTGTGCGGGCCTGGTCTTTTGCACCTAACATGGGCACCCTTAGCCCTCTGGCTGGCTGAGATGTCCTCGTTTTCCCATGTTTCCCTGGTGGTTCTCCCTGGACTTGCTTGTCCAATCGCCCACCTGCCTCCTCCCAGGTTGGGCACTGATGTCCAGCTGGGTTGCTGAGGAGAGAGAGAACCAGGAAACCTATGTTTTATGATGTCACGGGTTCTAGGAAGATGCAAGAGAAGAAGGAGCACCTGAGCCTGCCAGGAGATGGGATGGCAGCTCTTGCCAATCCTGGTCCTTGCCATGTTGCAGGAGAAGCTGGCCCCTGAAGGCGCTTCGCCCGACGAAGGGAACACCTGCGAGTAAGTGGCAAAGGAGGGCTCTGTATGGCTGCCCTGTGGGTAACACCCCTGTCCCATGGGAAGAATCCCTGGGCTTCTGCCTTCTGCCAGATGTGACTGCCATATCTGCAGGGCATGACAGGTACTGAAGCCGGAGATTGGGCCAAGCAAACAATCCAGAATAATAGCATCAAAACTCTGGGAAAGGAGAACTTGTGTGTGATGATCTGGGCCAAGGGACACAGGCAACACAGCCAGCTGATAGCTCAAATCACCCCTTTGTTGATCCAACTTCCCCCCAAACGCTTCCACATTTATGGCAAGTCCTAGAGCAAAGTGATCTCTCTCTCTCTCTCTCTCCTTCCCTCCCTCCCTTCCTCTCTCTCACATATGCAAACACCCACACACCTCCAGCAGTCTCTGGCTGCAAGTAGTCCACCAAAGTGCTACGAGCACAATGGCAGCAAAGTAAGAAATCCAACGGGGCAAGGGGATAAGTCAGTGAGTCCAGGAAGCAAAGGAACACGGCAATTAATCCAGGAAGTAAGAAATAAAGCAAGAAGTCCAGGAAACTCCAAACATCGGCAACGGCACACAAAACTCCAAGAATTCAGTTATTTTATTTTATTTATTTGATTTGTCAATTGCTTACAGGATAATAGGTATAAGTATATACATAGTTATGAATACATGAAATGGGTACATATAAGAAGAATAAAAGAAACAACAGGACAGGGATGGTAGGCACGTTTGTGCGCTTATGCACGCCCCCTACAGACCTCTTAGGAAAGGGGTGAGGTCAATAGTAGACAGTCTGAGGTTAAAGTTTTTGGGGTTTGGGGAAGAAACCACAGAGTCAGGTAGAGGATTCCAGACATTGACCTCTCTGTGGCTGAAGTCGTACTTCCTGCCATTGAGTTTGGTGCGGTTTACCTTGAGTTTGTATCTATTGTTTGCTCTTGTACTATTATGGTTGAAGCTGAAGTATTCATTGACAGGTAGGACATTGCAATGTATGATTTTATATACCATATTTAGATCAGACCGAAGGCGGCGTAATTCAAGGTTTTCTAGGTCTAGTATTTCAAGTGTGGTGGCAAAAGGTATTCTACAACGAGTAGAGGAGTGGAGAACTCTTCTTGTGAAATATTTCTGGACTTTCTCAACTGTATTAATATCAGATACGTAATGTGGATTCCAGACTGATGAGCTGTATTCAAGTATTGGTCTAGCAAATGTTTTGTATCCTCTAGTTAGTAATGTGATATTACCAGAGAAAAAGCTACGTAGAATTAGGTTAACAATTCTTAATGCCTTTTTGGCTATGTAGTTACAGTGGGCTCTAGCACTTAGGTCATTTGAGATGAGTACTCCAAGGTCCTTGACAGAGCTTGGATCATCAACAAGGTCTTCACTATTCAGCTTGTATTTTATTTTCTGATTTTTTTTGCCAATATGTAGGACAGAGCATTTATTTGTTGAGATTTGAAGTTGCCATTTGATTGACATTTATGTAGAGTATGAAGAGAGTTGGTCCTAGAACACTGCCTTGGGGGACACCACTATTGACAGGTAGAGAATTTGATAGGACACTCCCAATTTTGACCATTTGTTGTCTGTTTGACAGGAATGCTTCTATCCAGTTATGCAGGTATCCAGAGATACCATAAGATTTTAGTTTTAGGAGTAGTTTGTCGTGTACCACTGAATCAAAGGCTTTACAGAAGTCTATGTAGATTGCATCTATTGCTTTGCCCTGATCGAGTTGTGTAGTCCATATGTTTTTGCAGTGTAAGTGTTGAAGATGACAGGATAGTTTTTTTCTGAAACCAAATTGTTTATTAGAGAGTAGGTTGTTTGTTTCTAAGTGGAGGATAATGGATTGGTTAATAATTGATTCCATGACTTTACAGGTGACGCAGCATAAAGAGATTGGTCTGTAATTTTCAACTAGGCTGGGGTCTCCCTTTTTGAAGATGGGGATGACCGTGGCTTGTGACCATAGGTTAGGCAAGAAGCTGGTCCTGAAAGATTTTTCAAAGATTATGCTTAGAGGTTCGGCTATGGTAGTGGGTAGCTTTTTTAAGAAGTAGGCACATATTCTGTCCCGTCCAATAGATAGAGATGGTTTTAGATTGCGTAGTGCTTTTTCAACATTATCTTCTGTAAAATTGATATATATTAGATCATTGTAGTTGTCTGTGGTTCGACTAGGAAATACTGGACATGATCCATTGCTGTTTACAAATTCTGAGCCGAAGAATGTGTTAAAGATGTTGGCTTTAATGGTGTCGTCGTTGCAGTCTTTGCCATTAGGTCCTATCAGGGGTGGGATGGACCTTGAGTCTTTTAGTTTGTTGTTTATAAAATTGTAAAAAGTGCGGGTGGAATTGGTGCATAGAAGGTTTTCCTCTTGTTTAATGTGATAATTGGTGCATTCAGTCTTTATCTGGTGGCATAAATTTTTGTATTGGCTTTCGAAATTGGCAATGTGACCAGGTTTGTTTTTCCGCCAGAATGATCTCTTTTTGGATTGAAGTTTCCTTATTGTTATGGGTAATCTGTTTTTTTTTGTTTTGTTTTGGGAGTTGTTGTTGGTGCATATAGTTTGATGACTCTTTTGACTTCAAGTAAAAGTTCAGCATTGGTTCCTGACAAATGCTCCTCCCCATAGTGTCTTCTTAAGTCTCAATCCCCGATGTGCCATGAAGAGGGGCAGGGTGCTCTCCCCCCAGTTGTCAGGTTGGTCTGCGCTGTTCCCACCTCTTCTCCACTCTCCGTGCTCTGGGATCAGGAGGGGGCGGTCCTTGCTCATCGCCTGGGCTCCTTTGCTCCTCATTTCCACTGCCTGCCCTCTGTTGGCCCCGTTCCTCCCTGCTAGCAAGCTGTCCCACTCCTCAGGGGCCTGGCCTGTCTCCTCCCCACATTCCTCCGAAGCCAACGAAGCCAACCCCCCTCCCCCCCTGTCTCCCTCGGCTCCAACTCCAGCTCATCTTCCTCCGCAGATTCAGACTCCGACCGGGACATGACATTGTGCTCCCGGGTGGGGAGGGTTGTTATTTACAGCTTTCACCTCCTGACCATTCTCCGTTTGTGCTTCTCTTCAGTGGCGTCTGCGGACGGCGTCCGTTGGCAGCCAGCCACACCCTGTTGCGGATTGTGGGGGGCACAGACGCCCTCCCGGGAACGTGGCCTTGGCAGGTCTGCTTCCAGATACCATCGCAGTTGGGCTACATCAATGCCTGCGGAGGAACCCTGCTCAGCGCTCGCTGGGTGCTGACTGCCGCCCACTGCTTTCAGCTGGAAGAGTGAGCAAAAGAATGGCTGCCTCTCGGGGCCGGGGGGTGTCAGTGGAATGGGGCAGGACCCTCCAACCGGGCAGCCCAGAGCCCTGTGGGAGTTGAGTCCATGGTCCCTCTTCTGCTTAGCTCCAAAGACCTCCAGAGGTTCTCAAAGGTCCCATCCTTCCTTCCTCCCCAGCGTCCTTTCTCAGTCTGACCTCTTTCATTCGGGAATTTGATCTCTCCAGAAAGGAGGAGAGCAAAGGCCGGGCCCCTCGCTGTAGTTAGGCTGAAGTAACTTCAGATTACTTACCACCTTATGATTTCCCAAATAAACTCTTTCTTTCTTTCTTTCTTTCTTTCTTTCTTTCTTTCTTTCTTTCTTTCTTTCTTTCTTTC